TCATGCCAATTATTTCAAAAATATAAAAAAAAAACAATTGTCCATTATAAAATAAGGCAATAACAAAAAGATAAAGCGTTTTGGGTTTAATTGTCAATATTTTTTTAAATTTATTATTTTAAAGTTTAAATTTCATTAAAAAAATTTTTGTTTTTCTTATTATCAGAAAGATAAAGATGTGTGCTATTTAAAACAGTGAACAAAAATGTCAGTTGCCATTAAAAAAAATTAAAATGACGTCACAATTCAAAAACGAATGACGTCAGAAATGTCACTATAAGGTCAAAATATAGCATTTAAAAAAATAAAATCTATCTAAAAATTGTTTCTAGCTACGAGCCTGAATGTGAATTACGACATGTTACGTCTGAGGCGTTAAATAGGGTTATATTTCTGCGTAATAAATGTGCTGGTAGTGAAAAAAATGTTATATAAAACACGGTACAAGAAGGTTTTTATAGCCTCACATTTATTATTTAATAAACAGCTCGGCTATAAAAATCTCTTCTCTACCTTGTGATTTAATATACTATTATTCTGAACTTAATTTTTATTTATTCGACCAAACTGGTAACTGAGGCTTTTTGGTACTTTTTGTCACGGTCTCGGTCACGATTGAAAAATCTAATAAACTGTAATACTTTTTTATTGGTTTTTCAATATAGTTTTATTTTTCTTAAGAAAAGTAAAAGATTAGTAGTAAATAGATACTAAAATAAAAATCTGCTACAAATCATGATTTTTTCTCCTTGAATGTTTTTTTTTACTTGGATTAGGTATCTTAGTTGAGACATTTCCTTGTAAGTGTAAAATAGAAAAAAAGTTATAAATTTTGTGGGACATTTGGCTGTCTTACAAATTCTTTATGATCGTAGAGCCGAACTGTGAGCAGAAACAATAAATCTGACAGTAAGCAAAAAGGCTAGCCGAACTAATTTAGTTTAAAAAATTCTACTAAAAAGTTTACAAAGCCTGAGAGTAATTAGCGATTTTTGTTTCACTCTCTGTAAAATTTTCAAACATATTAAAATACGAGTATAAATAATAATAATATGTTCGTAGCTGGAAAATAGTTGTATTGTTTAATTTCAAACTTTATGAAAGTACATTTTTAAAACAAAGAGTTTAATTACCGTTAATGAAAAATTACGTACTCGAATTGACCTTTTACAAATGATGCAATAGAATGAAATGGTGAATAAAAAATGATGGAAAAAATGCAAATATGGGGAAAATTCATTACCTCAACTCCATTTATATACCAGGACAGTATCGGGGTAGGGTCAGCAGGATCAGAAACGCATTTAGCTTCAACGGTATCACCCTCCATATAAGATGTTGTTAAGCCCTCAATCCTGGGATTTTCTCGTGGCAGAGCTATAAAAGGGAAATCGGAAACTGTAACTACCATCGACAAAACTGAAAACGCAATCACACTAGTAATATAATCCCGTCTCGGACGTCCAAACCTTGCAGGATTTCTTGCACTTTGCGGCTTCAAAAAGCTTAAAAATAAATCTGTTTTGCAGCTGAAACAGTTGACAATGATGTAAAAAGTTGTTACTTTTTGGCAAATTTTAATACGACCGGAGTCAATTTACAGAAAGCTAATTAAAAATTAATTTAGGATTAAACTAATTCAATTAAATTGTCAATTGTCAAACGGCAAATTAATCACTAATTAAAATTTGATTGCAATTAAGTATTTCCTAATGTCATAGAATCATTATGTTTTAAAATAACTTTTGTGTACAAAAATTGTACTTGGAATTTAAAAATAAAAATCATTTTCAAAAATGGTGGATGCGCCGGGATAACTTGTGCTATTTTTGTAATTAAAGTTACAATTAATAGTATATTGTATTATTAGAAGTAAAAGTGACAGTAAACTCACTTTTACTTCGAATAACATATGCTATTTTATCCGCAAACGTATTCAGGTTGAGAGCAACACTATAATTAGCAAGTCAATGAACAAAATAATCAGGACGCTTCGCAAGTAATGAAATCATAACAATGCTTATAAACAAACATCACGCGTCGATATTGGAATAATTTGTGTTGAAATTTTTATACAAATTAATGAGACTAACAAAAACTTGAATTAATTTGAACTACAACACTTAATATTATCTAGATTATCCAGCAGGGAACAATGTGCTGAGGCTTTTTGTTAAATATTTAACACAATTGAAGGGGTAAGTGGATAAAAGTGTTATGTAACATTTTTTGAAAACTGGTATTTTCTTTTAAAACAATTTTTTTCGCAATATTCTTTTATTGAAAAAGACTTTTAAGTGTTGGTTTCTATTAGGAATGAAATTACCAAATGCTAAAGGCGTTATGTACAACTGGGATTGTTGAATAAACAGTGGATAAAGGAGTTGAAATATGTTTAAATAAATAAATAAATAATAAATAAATGTTTTAAAATAGCACAAATAACACTATTTTTACTTAATTCAATTACTTTCCGACGTATTCTTGACAAAATTTTACGTTTTTTATTGAAAAATGAGCATATATTATGTCGTTTTTTATTTAGTTTGGTATATGTATAACTTTTTTGGTATGTTTTTTAGCAAAAATTAAAGAAAAAACATTGTTTTAGACTTAAAAACGCAACTAAATGTTTGAAAAAAGCAAAAATAACATCATTTTGATTTAATTATGTGATTTTTCGGCTTATTTTTGTGCTTTTGATTGAAAAATCTGCTAAAACATTTAGAAAAGCAACCAGATGATTTTTCGGCTCAAAAACATGCTTAAACTCTCCAAAGAAGCAAAAATAATTTTAGTTTCGTGATAGTGTATTCATTTTCTACCTCATTTTCGATGAAAATTTTCAAAACAATTGCGATTTTGACTAATAAAACGTCCCAAAAGGGAAAAATAGTATTATTTTTGAACAAATTTTTAGCACAATTTAAAAAAGTAAAAATAACACCATTTTTGAGTAAATTTAGCGATTTGTGACGAAATAATTTTGTAAATTTTTAATTAAAAACGTGCCCAAAAAATCATAAAAAGGTCATTTTCAACCCAATTTGGTAAGTTTTCAATATGTTTTAACAGAATCTTACAAAAAACGTGGTGTAAACAAGCAAAATTCATTATTTTTCACTTAATTTCGTGACTTTTCGGTATATTTTTGTCTAAATATTCCATCTCTTATTGAAAAATATGATGTTAATATGGAACACCGTTTTCGAAAAATCGATGAACTATCTTCAAAATTACACTAATAAAAAAGAAAAAAAATATTTGTTAATTTTCGGGACAGCATAAAGTGGACTTTTTTATATTGTGTCGTTAGAATTTCATTTATAAATGTTTTGTTAAACTTGAAATATTTTTATAAAGCAATAGTTATCACAAAGTTTATATTAGAAAATAAAGCTTGTTTTTTGGTACATAACACTTTTAACAATTTTTTAATAATATAAACTAATGCATTATAGTGGATGAAGGGGTCATGTACATTTGATGAAAATCTATAAAAAAACATAATTACCTAAGTTTTCTTATAACAAGGAAACAATATTCACATAGGCCTTTATATATCATGTAATTTTGTTTACCTAAAATAAATTGGAAAAAAGTACCAGCAAATTATATTAAAATGCTTATAACTCCAAATATAAGTTAATGCACATTGATTTAATTGCTTCAATTTTTTGGTTAGATAGTCCGCTAAGCTTCGAAGAAATTTTGGGCTTTCAAAAACTTTATAAGTAATTTTCGTAGAGACGTTTTCTAAAACAGAGACAAGCAGCGAAACTGTTTTTTTTTAACTTTTTCTATGCAATTATGCACAATGTCTATTTCTTGGCGAGCTGAGTTTTCTGGTGTTAGAAACTTCAAAATTATTGTTCCTAATTCTGCATTTTTATATAAAAAATAAGTAATAGCGTATGACATCAGTGAATTTTTATTTTAAGGTACGCAAATCATTAAAGATTAAAGATTAAAGAGCAGTAATTATGGAAAACAAATGTACATATGACAGTGTAATTATAATAATTTTAATGTTTATAACATACAACTTTGTCATCTTTTTTACAGCAAACTAAGATAAGATACTTATAAAAAAATATTTTTTGGATTTACCTGATGTTGAAAAAGTAAGATACCTAACTGAAATCGCAAATTATTTAAAAATGGTTCATACGACAACGAACTTCAAAAAATTCAAAAATTGTGTAAAGCGAATTAAAGAAATTAACAAATGGTGGTTGCGTCGGGTAGGTCTAATAATTTCGTTATCAACTAAAATGGATTTAAATAAAAAAGTAAAAAAATGCAAACCTGCAACTGTGACTTTGTGAGTTTCCGACGTTAGTCGAAATGTTGGAGCCTCGCTTGATACTTCACACCGGTAAGCCCCCCCACTATGGTCCCTCGTAAGGTCCCTGAGGCGCACTTTACAATGCGCCAAACTGCAATTGGTTCCGTCTAGTACGAGATGAACCCCCGGTACAGGAAATGACATTGTGTGGGGTTGCCGGCTTGGCATGTATCTACAAAACCCAGATTTTATTCCACCACCACCAAAAAAATTAACAAAATGCACCGAAAAAACTCCTGATAATCTTTGTACCATTTCACGGAGTATAGGTCTTCCCCACCCATGTCGAAATTGCAGTCAAGTTCCATTTCTTCGCGAAAATCCGCAACAAGAGGGACTTTCATGTGTGTGATTCGAAGTCCATTTGTCCATTCAACTGTAATTTTAATTATGGATAAATTACGCAAAAAGAAATAAACGCAAAATGCATTTAGACGAGTTCAAATTTAAATTACTGAAAAGAAAAAAGTGCAACCCAGTGTGTATTAACATCTAGATAAATTAAAAACGTGTGCAGTTTACTAATTTAGTGTAATCGTTAGCAAACAACAGTCATATATTAGTGAAACGATTCGTCGAGTCTCTCTGGATGTTGGATCTAAACAAATTAAACATTACTACGGTTCGAATGACTTTTACGAGCTTCATTAACTTTGATGGATATGAGTCGAATCAATGAAGTGTTACATTTTGCTGATTTTTATTCAGTATGCTTTTGGATTGAATAATGCAAAAATGTTCTTTTGCACAGAAGAAATTAGAAAATAACCTTGATTAAAGTACACATAATTCAGTGATTTTTCTTTTTAGCAGTTTCTTGAAAAAATCAAATGTTTAATTTTTTTTATTTTAGTAAAAGAGTAATAATTCCATCACTTTTAAAACTCATTTTTGTAAATTTGAGATATGTTATAGAACGTGTAAAAATAAGTGACACGTATTCCACCGTTTTTTTATTTTTTTAATGTATGTTGAAAAAACAGGGATGTACAAAATTAACTACCTCGTAACAAAAAGAATTTTTATCTAAAGAGCAAATCAAAATTTTGAAACGATTTTTTTTAAATAATTGATATAAGTAGGTACACTACGGACGTGATAATACATGTATTCTAAAAATTTGTTATTAACAAATAATTTAAAAATATATTGTTTAAACGAAAAAATCAACAATTACGCAGGTTTTTAAAATTCTCAAAAAATTTATGTCAAAACTTTCATATTTTTACTATATCTTCACATAAGTTTCAAGACCGACGTTTTAAAAATGGCTGAAAAAAAATATTTGATCGCCTAAGATTGTGTGAAAGTAGCGTTTTCTTCGAAATTAAATAGAAAAATTACCAATTATCGTCACTGATAAACTGTTGTATAGAATACACATAATTTCCAATAACTTATTAACATTTATTTTTCAAAAAATATCAATAATAAATACAAATTCCTCGGTTGAGGAAGAGTACTCTCTAGGTATATTTTTTTTATTTTATTTTCTGATATTAAAATAAAAGTATGTAGATTTCACGTACTTTTTATGAGCTTCGCTCGACTAAAATGATCATTTAAAAAATCGCAGTTTTTCAACTTGTCGATTAGATTATACAGGATGTGTCAAAAGTCCAACATGTAAGGTAAGATACCAGGAGCATGGAAAAAATGTAAAAAAAATATCTAAACAATTTCGAAGTTATGAGAGTTTAAATTTTGCACTTTGATTTTATTTACTCCTGTTGGAAAAATAATTTTCTATTTTTTTTTGGCTACAGGCTATTAGAAGAGGAAACAAGGAAGCTGTATCCTAAATTGTTACTCTGTTTAATGTTATTTGTGGCTTTTATTGGCAAAATTATCGTACCTTTATTAAATAATTATAAAAAAAACATATACAAGATCCTCAGTATCATTAAAACATTATAATTTTGAAATTATATTTGGATATATGGAAAGGAAATGTCAGATTTTTCCTTTGATGTATTCAATATCTTTAAATAGACATAAAAAATGTTAATTTTCAAAAAGTAAATGTAAAAATTTTTTGACAGATTTTTTTAACATTTTTTTTTTCATGTTCCTGGTAAGATTACCCTACATGGCATGTCACATTGGTCCGGGAATTGTGACACACTCTGTATAGCCAAACGTAATCTGTGAAATATTTGTGAAATATTTACTCAACCGAAGAATTTGTTTTTTATTATATATTTTTTGAAAAATAAATGTTAATAAATTATTTGTTTTTTATACAATAGTTTATTAGTGACGGTAATTGGTAATTTTTCTATTTAATTTCCAAGGAGATGCTATTTTCACACGATCTTAGGGGATCATGCATGCACTATGCAGCGCTCTGAAAAAAATTTTTTTTTCAGCCATTTTTAAATCGTCCGTCTTGAAACTTATGTGAAGACATAGTAAAATCTGAAAGTTTTTTATTATTAATATATTAATTAATTATTAAAAAAAAATCTTTTCAATATGTTGATTTGTTCTTTAGATACAAATTCTTTTTGCTCCGAGATACTTAATTTTGTACATCCCTGTTTTTTCAACATACATTGAAAAAATAAAAAACGGTGAAATACGTGTCACTTAATTTTTCACGTTCTATAACATATCTCAAATTTACGAAAGTCAGAAACAATGAGTTTTAAAAGTGATCGTTTTGGCAAAAACCAATTCGAGTCATCAAACTTTGTCTATGTCAGCAAAGTTTTCCAACACTTTTCAACAATGCACATCAATCCACATTGGAAGCTGCATCTACGATTTATTCTGCAAATTCAGCACTTTGGAATTTTATTAAATCCGCGAGAATTGTCATTTTTCTCTATGTATAAGTTGTTATTGGTTCTATTAAAAAAATAATAATTTTTGTGCTACAATTAAATTAATTCAAATTACACTTCAAACAATTGATTTATAAAAAATTGGGAGTCTAGTCAGAAAGTGGCAAAATTATGGAGTAATCTTATTATTATTTTTAAAACACAATTTTCAACTTGATTTAAAATTTTACACTTTTTGGTTTTTTTAGTAATGACGCATAGATATTTTTTAAATGGAAACTCCTAATTTTTTTACATCATAAAGTTTTCGAAAAAAAAACAAAAAAGTGAAATAATATCAATACTGGGAGGGGCATTGGTTACGTGCACTTGATAAATCGCGACTTCTAATTAAATAAAACTGGCGATATTAAAATATCTAACTAATTATTGATAAGGTATATTTAAGAATTTTTCGATTTTTTTTGATAAGGTCACAAATAAAAATGATTTTCAAAGTTAAGATAGAAAATTGCGTTTAATTCAAAATCTAATTAGTATTTTTTTCTGATTTCGTAAATAATTACGGGAAGTGAATCTGTGTAGGTCAGTATAAAAATTAGAATCTAACTTTTCGGGAGAAAATTGCTTTTTATTTTTTTTTGGCTTTGTTTGTAAATGAAAAATTACCAAAAAATTATGAAATTTACTTTAGCAATGCCCAGGTAAGTGTGAAAAATTTCAACAATTTTATTTAATTAAAAGTGGGGGATTTCTTTTCTGCGCGTAAACGGTACAATTTTAAATCAAGTTGCGAATTTAGCATTTGAAAAAAATGACTTGTTCGAGCATTTTTGTCAAAACAAAATACTTTCAATAAGATTATTCCATAATTTTGCCGCTCACTGTATTTTTAAATAAATGTCGTGATTTAAAACATTTTACGTTTATTTAAAAATTTTAATAATAATTAATTTAAATTAAAACGAAAACCGAAATTGTCGTTTTCAGACTACTACATATTATAAAATCAATTGTTCGTATTTGTTTAAATGAGGTCATTGTTGAATTTCCGATTATTTTTATCTATATTTTTGTATAATTGTATAAATTAAAATAACATGATACGAACGAGTTTACACAAGTTATATTAATAGAGCCCTAACCTTTTACTATCTACAGTATGACCCCGAATTCAGATTACAAGAGAAAAAAAAATCTTTGTTTTTGCGCCAAAACAAAAGAAAAAACATGTTTTGCTTCACTTGAAACGAGTTTGTGAAAAATACAATTTTAATAAATGGCAACTCAAAAAACAGCTTTAAGATAAAAATACAAACTCATTTTGAACAAAAACAATCATTATTCAATTAACTAATTAATTGTCAAAGTCAAAAAAATAAAACCGCCCAGATGATAAAATTTAAACAAGAGAGAAAGATTATTAATTAAGTCCAAAATTAAGTAAAAAATTAAGTTTTCTTCCTACCGAATCAGAATAATAATAAAGTTTTAATTATAGATTTGCTCGTTTCAGGTTAGCGTAAAATCAAAGATAACAATTTTTTTCCTTTTGTAAACTCGTTCCGGGGATACTTAAGCAGGATTAACTAAGTTATTCAAAAATTTAGAACAGTTGCATCCGAGTTTAAATGCTGTTTAATTAGTTCTAAGAATCTCTTATTCTAAGTCTAAATGGTAGCTTATGAAGTTTCAAAAGCTTTAGAAACAGAACTATTTAACTTCTAATTTAATTCTCAATAAAAATGTAACAAAACTACGGTTGTGAATCTAGCAAAAACAAAGATTTTCTTAATCTTTTACAACTATTAAAAACCAATAAAACGCAGTTTAATTCATAAAGAAAAGAAACTAGTTACTATCACTGATTTGTGTAATTATGACGTCTATATGTTATTCATCAAGTTTTTTTTAATATATAGGGTGAGTTTTTAAGTATACCTACACTATTAAATTTTTAAATTTTAAATAATTTGGACTGATGACAGCAAATGGCGACACTACATTTGGTGACGCCATACTTGTCAAAAGCAAAGTGAATCGGTTTTAATTTATTTTTTCGAAAAACAGTTTAATTTTTTTAATTTATCAGATTCTCCGTAAATAAAAATAAAAGATTATTGATCATAACTTAATAATAATAAGTATTAGTATTTATTGTATAATGATGAAGGGTACTAAAAATATTTTACAATATCGATAAAATGTTTTGCTTGAATTAAATGATTGTCATAAATAAATTAATGTCCCAGCTGGTAAAATGTAACATTTAACAAAATCAATTTCCATCATTAAGACAAACGTTAACGTTATTCCAATATTTCAATTCAAAATTACCATTTTCGTTGAATTTATATTCCATTATTGTCACTGAAAATGAGTTTATTTGCATTGAAAAAATGTACCAACAATATAATTTTAGAGAAAAATTATCCCAGTGTTGAAAGCAAGTTCTTTATCCTGTTGGATGGAGTCACAAAAATTTCGAAAGTGGTGATAAAACACTGGAAACGTTTAGGGACAATAAATTCAGCAGTAAAACTATGTGATAATGTGATTAACGTCCGCAGCATCAGCAAAAATAATCGATCCTAAAGAAGCATTTTTTATTTACACTGGACGCCAAGAACTAAAATTATTTTTCACAATTTTTTTTGTTATTTTGTGTCGGATTTCGACGAATTTTTGTTTGGCTTAAAGAACAAACTTTGCCCAACATTGTAATTTAATTCAATAACATATCTAGTTTTGTCTTGTAAATGTTATAGAGGGTGTCGCAATGAAAACGAGCCACCCCGAATATCTCAGAAACTAAAAAGACTTTGCAAAAACGACAAAACAGGTCAATTTTGTTTCCGAGGGGGACATTTTTTGACTTAATTTTTAAATCACCCCCAGTAACCCTTTAACCCCTACGCACCCCAACTTTAAAAATTTAAATAGCACTACACTACTTGTGGCACATCCAGGGCCGTAACCAGGATTTTATTTCGGGGGGGGTTTCTTGTTGGTCCATGAAAATGAAATTAAAGAAGACGGATTAAAAAGCAAAAATCTCTAAGTACACGTTTTTATTTTAAATTGACATAAGAAATCCTAATTAAACATAAAAAAACAAATGAACTCACAAAAAATAAAATAAATTTTTAATACTTTTTATTGTTACAAATTTTAAGCAGGAGATGAATATTCATTTTTAAAACAAAAATTTTCTATGAACATATATCGAAAAATGCTACGCAAGGGGTGCGTCTTTTAATAGGTTTTTTTTCAATATTTCCGAAATCATTTTAGAAAAAAAAATCAAAATTTGGTACAAATGATAACTTTTATACACCTAAACAAGTACAAAAAGAAAATGTTGAAATTTTTAATTAGGGGCTTCCTAAACTAGATGGGATTAGGGTAAAAATTTATTCTAACTATTTTGCCTGTGATTTCTTGCCACTTTCAGCAACAAAATTTCATAGTTTTTCATAAAAAAAAGGTCTTTTGTGTTTTTCCGATACAATTTACGGATTTTTAGTAAAAATCGGTTCAAAAATTTATGTTACAGACCATAAACAGCATAAAAATTAAAAATTAAATTTGTTTTACCGTTTAGGACGCCCCTG